CCCTCTGCAAAAAAGGGTGACTTGGCAAGTGTCAGTCCCATCCTGAAATTATAAGTAGTAATAATTTTAGTAGGTCTTTAGTGTAAACCAAAACCTACTTTAATTGGTTCCTCTCTCTAAAGATGCATGTAAACTTTGGGGTTGTTTTTGTTTAATTTTTTGGTATCTTAATTAATGAAATCAAGAACATATCTGGCTCAAAAATGAGAATGACATACCTCCCTTTTGTTCTGGATACAGTGATGTAGCTATTTCAATATGCTCATTGACACTTCCTAAAAGAGAAAACCATTATGTACTATGTAAAAAATACACACCACCTCTCTCAGTTCAGACTCAGCATATAGTATATTGCCAGCTCTATCCAATAGGATATATATTCTAATTTGGTTTAAACTCTTAATAGATATAGTCTCTCTTTACAAAGTTCCATCACATGAAACCAAATTGCTTATTTTTCCTTTGAGGCACAGCATGACCCCAATTAGACCATTAGCTATAAAGAGTTGTTCTTTAGATGTTGTGTCTGTAGAGGTTTTACGTGATATTCATAGATTTTCAGCGCAGGCCCCAGTTTTAATGAAAGTCCAGTCAGTACATCATTTCTTGTCATCAACAGTAATGATTTGCCATCAATTTCCTATAAGAAGAATTAAAGAGTTGATGAAGACAAATATACAAATCTAACAGAGGAACAGTCATGCAACAAATGGAATACTACTATAGAGAATCAGTGAGGAAAATAGTAGCCTTGATTTTCCCAAAACCATGTTCACAGCTGCTAAATTCTGCTTGCTTTTCAAGTGCTCACCTGTGCTGACTAAGGCATAAATACTATTTAGTCAAGCACAAAATCCAAATGAGCCTAATTTCAAAATTCCCTCCTTGTAAACCTTTCTCTAATTAATAGGTACAAGTGAAGAATGCCTAATTATCAGCCATTTAGGGAAGGATACTCCTAAGAATGAAGCTTATGAAGTGCATTTCAGAAGAATTACTATTGACAGCAATATGCAAGTTTAAACTAGTGAATATCTGCTAATAACTTCAGGTGCCTTCTTTAAAAGGCCATGCATCCTGTGGGGGGAAAAAAAAAAGGAAAAGACTCTTGCAATCAGAAAGTTTGGAAGGGCCTTAACTGGAGCTTGACACACTGAGAGAACTTCCTTCCTCTACTTTCAAGGGAAGATGAGAAAAGCAGCAACTTGCCAGCTTAGGTCTTAACAACCCCTACACTTTCCTGCTTAAAATACCTCTTGTAAATCACAGATACGGTGGGATTTTTTTTTCTCCTCTTAGACCTTGACTTTCTGACCTGTTTAGGTTATAAATCCTGTAGGCTTTGGATTTTTTTTTCCATCTCAAAACCTTGACATATTCTTGAAAACTCCCTCTAAATAATTTTTAAAGTCAAAATGGAAGAGAAAGAATCCGTATCTCTCCATTCCCTTCTATTATCTTGGAAATATCAGAGATCCCATCCTTGATTACAATGCAACATGAAAAGAAGACTTCTATTAGAGCTCAGCAGGCATTTGTCAAGATTGATCTCTCTTAAAATTTGATAGAGTTTATAAATACAAAATACACGGACAAACCACAACGTAGTCAAAGATCAGCTGAAAGCGGCATTTTTAAAAAATATCTCCAAGATGTATACAACTACTAATCACTCAGGGGAGCACAAAGTAACAGTAATTCTAAAAGAAAAAAAAGTTTCCAATAACTTTTTACCCAATTATAGCAGGTGCCTCTTTCCAATTACTGTTGAGAATGTTAATGGTTAAACCAGTTTCTATCCTCTCTTTTCCATTCGTCACAATTCTTTCTGTGGGAATTTTGACACCAGTGAGTGTTTTGCTCATTGCTATGACCGATCTGAAGTTGCCTTTTCTGCTGCTGTTCAACGATGCTATGGAGGAAGAACAGCCTCCAGCTTGGTAGGATCCAAATGGAGTAAATCCAGTACCTGGAATAGGAGAAACTCCAAGAATAGGAAAAAAGCATCTATTCCTTTCCTTTCTTCTTCCACAAAACTCCCTGTGTTTTCTAGAAATGCTGGTAACTACTAAGATTTCCACTGAATAGAAAACTGATTCTGTAAACACATCTGTGTAGGAATAAGTGATTACATATTCCGAGTTCAAGTGTTTTGTATCTTTGTATGAATTTTAAGCTTTACCGTTTTCACTTCCTTTAAGTTTTCCACATTAACCTGCTTCTGCAGAATTGCCACACACTTTTTTTTTGCACCAGGTAAGATTTTGTATGCTCTGGTGACTTCTCTGATCTTTTTTTTTGATACTTCTCTATTTTCTGGATTTTTTTTCAGGATGTAATTTCAATGCTATCTCTCAGTATGTCTTTTAAATGTTAACTGCAGAGAGATTTCTCTGCACAACTCAAGCTAACAGTAATTCCCCACTGCGCCAGGATGACCTCAACACCAGTATCAGACTGTCTTCAGCAAATAACAAGGGGATTGGTTAAGCTTCAAGTCCTCCCACCACCCCTTCTGCTGTACGTGACTGAGAAGTGTGAAGTTTTACAGTAAGCCAACATGAGAGCACAGCAGCCAGCACACTCACGTGCTCCTCCCTACCAAGGCTCTGCCAGAGGATACCAGGTGATGTCAAACCCTGCTTTCCTTTCTGGTAAGGCATTGCAGTGAGGCCAGCAAACCAGCACTGGGTCACCTGGGCATATCTAGCTATCACAACATAATGGTCAAAAAGCCACATGGGCCATAACAAAGGTCAGAGCATGAGCACATCTTGAGACTTTGTAAACATCTTCAGTCTTGGAGGGAGCCACAGTCCCCTGCGCTTCCAGGGCTCCTACAGACAGCTCAGCCACAAATTGGCAGGCTGTATTTCTCTGAACGTGTTCACACCCTTGTCCTGCAACTGCTACTCCTCCCTCTTCAGGTATCTTGTGTCCCCAACTTCTTGGCTTGTCTGATTTGCTTGTTGATATTATGGATTTTTGTTATTGGGCAATATCCTTCAGTTGAATCTGTTTTCATCAGTGAGCTCTTTTGATTTGCTGACATCAGCGGAATTCCAAGAAGGAATGACAGATAATCATCATACAAGCATCACTTCTTACTATCACTCACAATAGAGTTTTAATAAAACATTCTGCAGCCCTTAAAATGTCTTCTAAATGATCCCTAAAGTATTGTAAAACAAATTCAGGTCTTAAAGGTGTTTTGAGTCCCTTATTTTAGGTGAGTCCAGGCGTATTCAGATTCATCAAAAGAAAATGTGGTCTCAGTTATTGCTGTGTAAAAGCTCAGTGTAAAAATAGATGCCGTGATTACATTCTGGGCTAAGGATATTTTGTAAGGAAACCATTGTGCTACCCCTACTAAAGCAGTTCAGTGGAAAACAATTTCCCAGTGTTGTAGGTGAAACTGAATACTGCTTACAATCTCATTCTTCTTCCAGTACATATTCAGGGCAGTAGATCAAATGAAACTAGGTTTCTGGGGCCCAGGCAACTGCAAATGACAGAGGAAATTAGAGATGGCCAGAACTGCAGCTGCATGCCTGGGGCTCTAGAGACAGAGGATGGCTAAGAGTTCAAAATGAACCTGTCTGCACTGCCATACCTGGGAGATCCTGACAAAAAACACTGTAAGAACAGAATTAAAGTTAGTAGTAGCAAATAGTGTAGAAGAAACTGAACAGCACCACTGATAAGAAGTTAGGGACTGCATTGTTTATGGGGCTATTCTTGGTGCAGACAGGGAATAGGCTGGCAAACCTGGCTTGTAGAACCAAGCACTTCCTGCTCCTCATGCTGCTAATGGAAAGGAGAGGGAAGGAAGTGGCAATGACTTTTGCTGTGATTATCCATCCCTCAGCTCCTGGCCACATCCTGGTGGCAGCTGTCAGCCTCTCTCTCCAAGGTTTTAGCATAAGGTGAAGTTGGCAGTGGAATCACAGCCAGATTTCTGCACATGGCTGTCCCAGCAGAGTCCTCAGTTACCCACTTATCCTCATTGCAGAATACTAACAAAGCCTATGAGGCTGTTGCAAACTGATTTGCCAAAACTCAGAAATTAGCCTCACCTTTCTGCTGCAAAATCAGTAGTAATTACTTCAATATTATTGACAAGCCAGCTGTGAGGCAAAGAGGTCAAGATATTTGATGGAAGTCAGAGGTATCTGTCAGTATAAGGAAAAGACACCCAGAGACGACAATTACTTTGCCTATGTAATTTTTTAAGCCACATTTCCAGGGCTGTTGTGACATGGATGCTGGTATTAAGGAATGGACACACTCAAACATTTTCCTTTTTCACTCATCTTCAAATTCTGAAAAATGAGCAGCAGCTGCAGAAAGAACCTCTCTGCAACCTGCCAAGAGAATCCCCCACCACCAGGCTTTTCACCCTCAAGAACAAAGAGCTAAAATTAGATACTTTGTTATATACATCAGTTACAATCAGATCGGATTTCACAGACCTGGTGATGAAGGTCAGCAAACTGACCTGACCAACCAGGATGCTATTTCATGTGCAATGAACAGTCTCCCTGCAAAGCTGCCCTTAACCTGCACCAGCTCAGTACTTTGGAAGGCCGAGCCATCTATTTTAATAACTAATTACAGCTGTGGGTGACTAATTTCCTGGTAGTCACACACAAGCCTACAGACTTACCTGGGGAGGTGCTGAGCTGCCAATCTGATGTAAATTACTTCTCTATGGAACAGGTGGGCTTAGGCCAAGTAAGCTGCCTTCCCAATTCTGTCCCACTAACACAAGGCCCCAGCTGCTGGCAGGTGGGTTACAATGGCCACCTGACTGTTGAGCTCTTTGCTGATCTCAGCTACCAAGAGAAGCCTTCCATTCGCATCAGCAGTTGCAAGGCCTAGAAACAAAGACCCAACCTATTTCTCAGACTGAGTCCTACAAACACACTGCTCCTCTGTCAAATTAGTGCCAACTTGTCCTTTCCCTATCCACTTGTATTGCCAAGTTCAATGCAGCACAGCAGCCCCTTTTTCACCCTATGCCTTCACACTCACGTTGTTGCTTAGAGGCCCCAGGTTTTATAAGTACTCATGAGTGCAATTACACAATACACTAAGAAAGAAGGACATTCACATTTTAAATAACAAGACAGTGGAACTGAGTGGGTTGTATAGGGAGACTGAGTTCAAGACAGAAAATTTGTTTACATTTCTCACCTTTCTGAATCCTATCTTAAACAAACTCCAACTCATTATCCACAGCTTGCAGAACAATATTGTTACTCGGTGATCACAGTCCCATGCATTGTCACCCAATAACAAACTCAAATCCTGCCATTAATGTGGGATTTTCTCTCTCATTTTACAGTATATTACCAGGCCCAGAGCAAAAATGTGCAATGTGAGAAACTGGTGGCAGACAAAAGGTAGGATTTACCTGTTCCTGAAAAGCATTGGCTTGTTCTTCAAATCCAGCTGTTCTGAAATAATTCACAACATCAGTAACAGCCCAGTCAGCAGGATCCAGAGGTCTTCCATTCTCTAGTGAACTGCAAAGTGGGAATGCAGAAGTAATCACTAAAGGTATGCAGAACATCTGCTGCTGCTTTGTGCATGCCTCATGTATGTCCCCCTCCTTCCTTGTTTCTCCAGGAAAAGTGTTCTTTGATACATCTCCCCTACTCCAATACAGAACAGTGTCTCCTGTACTTTTACACTCCAAAGACCTGATGCTGGGGAAAACTGAGACCCCTCTCCTTTCAGAAAAGAAGAAAGTATATGAATCTTCACATCAGCCAAAGGTAATGAGTTAGGATCTTCCTACAAGTGTGCTGTCTTTGCTGCTGGAGAATGAGAACTGCCACAGCTGGGGCACCAAACTCCTGCCTTTCAAGCCAGCAGCTTGTTTTCAGCTACCAAGTACTTAAAGAACTATATTAAATGAGACTGTCCTTGTAACATGAGTAGAAATTACTAGTAGCCATCTTTACCCTGCTAAACAACAACAAATCAATTACAAACAAACAGATCTTCCCAATCAAAACAAAAAAGAGGTACCAAATTATTGCACTAATTCTCAATATAGAAAATTTCCCAAAACTGCTGTCAGACTCATCTTTGGACCAATCTATGGACTTTTTAAATAGCTGTGCATCTGAGAAAACATCTGTTAAACACAATCAGAATTAATTCTTTCTGTGATTAACCTCAGGCAATTGTTTTCCACAATAGCAAAAACAACAAAACATTCATATTACTATCCTTATCCTGCATTTCTTTTCCTCAAACTGTAATCACCCTATCACAAAGATAACCTTGGTGTATCCGAAAATTTTTGGTAAAAAAAGATACATAGTGAGCTTGCCTGCCTTTTCTACAGCAATTTATGAGGATGAAGAGCAAGATATCAAAGAGCTTCTTTTATATGTCTCCCCAACCAGAAGTCCTGAAGTTCATGCCAAATATTTTCCGTTGTTATACCTGCTTAACTATAATGCTAATGAAGCAATATCGAAAATGTAGAGATTAGGGCAGGTGTCAGAATCCTGTCCATTTTCTGGTCTGAAGCTTAGAGGCAAGACTTTGATTCCAACAGCACCAGCTGGAAAAGAGACACAGATTATACTCTCCTGACAATATTTTTGTTCTGTCCTTCAATTTTTTGGTTTCCAACTGTCAGTGTCTCTGCCTTGCCTGGACTTGTATGTTTTTCAGCAAAATAACTGGGTGAATCAAGGGCAGACCATATTACAAATCAGCCAAATACAATCTATACAATATAGACTGCCTCCCATTGTTTTTTCTACAACATTCTTATTTCTACAACTATCTGAGTCCTGTGAAGGAGGACTCATGAAAACAATGATTTTTGCATGTCCCCAAACTCTAGAAATGTGTCTGTCAATATGGCAACAAAATCTGGCCACAGGGATTACCTGCAGTCTGTGTTACACTGGGCTTTCTAAAAGAAATTTCTTTCATTTATCACAGATCTCTGAGCAATGAGAAACAGTTTCTTACTTTTGCTCATCACATGATGACTTACTTAATGAATTGCTTTACTGATTGTGATTACACAGAGAGCAACACTCAGCAAAATTGAAAATGAGACTATCTGGCCATATCAGAGCTGCACTTTTTCCTGTGTATTTTTTTTAATCAAAGAATGCCTTTCAAACAAGATTTTTGGTGTTGTGCACATTCTGAGGCTTAAGAAGTAAAATGTGAAAACTGCCACACAAAATCTGCATATATTTATAAAAGCAACATTTGAGGAATAATTATATTTAAATCTTTGCATTTTCCTTAAGACACAGACTGTCACTTTCAATTACTCATTTTTTACTAAAAAATAAACAAAATGCCAACCACTCAGTAAAAAAAAAAAAAAAAACAAAACAACCAAACACCTAAATTTAACCCTTCTTAAACAGCAAATAAAAGGTTCGGTCTGTAAAAATATCACCTAATTGTAATTTGCTTAATTCTCCAAACACTTTAATTTCAAATTAAATATGGCCCCAAACCCTCCTTCCACATTTTTTTGTCTCAGCCCAGGTGCTTTAGTTTTTCTTGTAGCTCATCTTTTATCACTAGGGAACTACAGCTTGGTCCAGGTCCAGCCCCAACCAGGCCTCAACTGCAATGACTTCAGGGACTCTACCTCAGTCATTAATTAATCACAGGAATTAATTGCAAGTTCCTGCCTTAAGGAATAGCATCATGCTGGACCTCAAGTGGAGCCAATTTCCACAGCTACAGCTGTGGAAGACTGGAAGGCATGTGGCAGACTGCTGGAGGCTGGCTGGATTTTAACCCATCTACCCACAGAGATGCTCATTTTGCTTGTAGACTTTGTTAGTCTCCTCCTCACACTGCTGCTGACATTGCTTTAGTCAAGACAAAGGAATATATAGCATCCATGGCTTACGTATACACTGACTTATGCCTCACATCCTGGATGCTTTAAAATCTTAGGAGGACTGGCATTTTAGGCTTTGAAACTAGATGCACTGACACTGAATAAGAATTAGACTTGTCTGTTTTTAACCACTGTCCCTGTGCCTTTATTGCCATCATGTGGCAGAAGCAGCAAGGTCTGAAAGGATATAGCTGAGAACAAACAGATTTTATCCAACCTATTTATAAGCACTTCAAGAAAGTGTCAAATACTTCCTTTGTAGATACACCCACATACATACCATATACATTCATCTAGAAACTATAACCCCACAGTTTAAATACTATTTCAATCCCCTCTAAAAAGCCACCTTAGCAAACAGTAGTTGAGTCTTTATCACCCAAGCGTTGGGGAAAGTGATTAAATGTAAACTGTCCCTGCTTTGATTGCCTCCTTTCTCCTCCCACCCCAGAGTGCTCATTGTAGAAACCAGACTGTCAAAGGGAAGGTGGTTTCTGAGGGACACGATATAATTATTCATAGTCACTGAATAGGAAAATGCTCTTAATGTTAGTGTGGTGTACCAAGCGTCTCAAGTGAAGGGGAGGATGCTGATTTTAATGGCTGCCATCAGATCTTTTGATGCTTTTCATAATCAGGTGTTTTATCAGTAGCCTGAAGTGACCATCATTATTTACCTTACTCTAGTGCCTGGTACCCTATGCATTGTCACATTTTCTTGGACAGCTTATGTAAAAGATCTGAAAGAGAATAATGATGTGCAGCTGCACAAAGTCTTGCAGCTTGACAGAACTAAGAGCTTACTCTAGTACCTTTCCTTATATATATATATATATATATATATATATATATATACCTATGTGTACATCTCTCTCACCATGGCTTCTGTAATCCTAAAGCAGCAAGGCCAGATTTTTCCACACAGAATTTCACTTCTCAGACCGTAATGTCATTCAGAATTGCTACTCTTAATTAAAGAATTTCTGACCTTAAATAAATGCTTACAAAAAACTTCCTATGCCTTAGCCTGTAGTTAACCACACAAAAGAAAGGTGTAGAGCAGCACACACCATGTCTCTGCCTTATTCCCACTCTAGGTCTTGAAATAAAACCCTAGCAACTTCAGGCTTCTCCAATAAACAGCTTAAAGTATCTGTTTCAGAAGGGAACTGACACCTAAGTGATATGCTGCTACTATTCAGCCCTAGACAGGGTCAGCAGAGAAGGGCACAGAGAGGTAACTTCCACACAGGACACTTCCATCATTAGGCACTGCTGCTGCAAAAGCCACTAACAGACAGGTGAGCAGCGGCACAATATTGCTTTAGCTTCTGGTTGAGAGGAAGAGAATAAAACTTTTACCTAACTTACTATCTTCTGCATCTCTTCATTGCTATACAGTCCTACCACATATCACTTTTAATCAGCTCAGTGCCCTGGACTCTTCTATTTCAAAACTGAAATACAACAGAAGTCATTAGGAAGAGGGAAGGGTTTGAAATGAGCAAAGATGGAGATGCCACTATAGCTCAAAAGAAAACTACATTCAAAATCCATGTGCTGTTTACATAAAAGGAACACTTACTTTTTGACATCCAGAGAGCCATTTTCCTTGTTTTCCATGTCAACAGTTAGCATGGAGAGGATAGAAGTTTTACTTCAGCAACTGATCAATAGGGAGGAAAAAAAGAGCTGTGTTTAATAACTGGTAGTATGACCAGCGCAGCATAATGTAACAAGAATTCTACAGGGACACATGCATGTTACCACTTGAGAGCAACAGTGCTATTAAAGACTGGTTTCCTTGGAAGCCTGGCAAAGCTGATAGTAGCTAATGAATTAGACAATAAAGTTGATCTGTGCTTCAAACACAAGAAATAATTCTTGCCTGAAAATCAAGGAAAGTAATACTACATTTAATCCATTTCGCAAGTGTTAAAATTTTGATCAAGCTGTATGTATTCATATACATGGAGACTGATGTGCAATATATAGCTGTGTACCAAGAGAGCTTGATAGGCCTTCAGTCATCCTGTGATACAGAAGATCCAAACAGATGGGAGATCTTTGGAAAGGTTTGGAAATCCATAGCCTTGTTTTACAAATGCGGACTTGGATACAGATTAACATATCACTTAAGCTCATTGTGCAAATAAAGCTGGTAAGGAGAATTACTAATTGCGCCCCAAACTCCTGAGGCCTAAATCAGTATGTTATCCATAAGACCTCCCTTCCTTCACTAGAGCAGCTTCATCTATAGGTATGCTACACCGAACTCCAAAAAAGAAAGGAGCACTTGAAGGACACAGGAGAAAATTCAGTTCATTTCCTTCCTTGCAGCACACCGGAGTACTCGCACCACACAGCCTTTTTCCATCGCTCCACAGAACATGCAGAAATAACCCAAGCCTTTCCTTTCTGTTCTCAAGTAAGCCATTTCTATTTTAGAGAGCACCAGAGAACAGACCAAGGAGAAACGGGATGTTCTTGCTGTAGCATTAATGGATGCCAGTGAAATGTCTCAAAGCTCTGGGATACAGAATAGGGAAATCATGCTCTTCAGCTAAAACTTTGCAAAAATACAGAATAGCAATTCATATTGCTGTGGGGAAAAAATAATAATAAAAAAAAGAAGATCCTTTATTATACACGTAGAAACGTGTAAAGCACCAAGAACATAGTAACAAACTGATCGAAAAGATGCTTCTTCCTGAGCAAACAACTCCACGCATTCCCTGAAATCACTTCTCGGTTCACCTGAGGTGACTGCAGACGACACCCGCACAGCCTACCTGCGGAACGCCCCGCGCCGCGGCCGCGCACGGCCCGGAGCGCCGGGCTCGGGGCGGGCACCTCCCGCGGAGCCCGCGGGCCCGGGCAGCGGGGGCTCCCGGGGCTCCGCTTCCCGCGGCTGCGCCGGGGCTGTGACACGCGTTCAGCATCTCACGGGCACCCCCGAGCCCGCTCGCACTGCACCACATTGTCAGTTCTGACTGGGGGCGAGGGAAGCAAGGCAGAAAAACCTACCTACGAGCAACTAAACCAGCGCATGGCTACCGGCTGCTGCGGAGCGGCGGAGCCCGCGGCCCCCGCCCCCCGGCGGCAGCGGGCGCTCCGCCGCGGCTCCGAGTGACACCGGGAGCGGCCCCGCCCGGCCCCGTGACGCGCCCGCACACGCGGACCGCCCGCGTCATGGCCGCCGCCTTAAAGGCGCCGCGCCCGGCGCAGGAGGGCACCGGGGCCCTGGGGCTGCGGACGGCAGCGGGGCGGGCACGGAGCCGGCACGGAGCAGCTCCTCCCTCCGCCGAGCGGCTCACCCCGCGGCGCTTACCTGCTGCGGAGCCGCGGGCAGCGCCGGGGCCGGGGGGCCGGTGTGGGCGGGCGCGGACCTGCCCTCGGCACACGGCCGGAGAGCCGCGCTCGGAGCTCGGTTCGTGACTTGAGGTTCTTGGGGCCTCCTTGTGGACATTTCTGCTCCTCCTAACAAGCGGGGTAACAGGTAACGGAAAGAAATTCTTAGTTGTTGAAGGATCCAGTACCAAGCCGAGGAAATTTTATCCAAGGTAGGAAGTAGGAGTCGCCAGATGTTGGCAAATTGATAAAGTTACACAAATTCATTTCTAGAATGACACTTGGCTTTCTGTAGAACTCTTGCAACTGCAGGCTCGGGGTGATGGGAAAGAGGAGTGACCCAGGCAGCAGAACCGAGTCACCCGCACCGTGCCACCGCCGGCACTGGGGAGGCACTGAGTCTGCAGGTCTTACTCGTCTAAGCTCCAGACTTTATTTCACAAGGAAAGAAAGAATCACCTCAAAGAGCTTACAAATTACCAAGTGTCCCACTGGCAATTAAATCTCACCCACAGAATTTAATACAAAAGTTGTCAAGTTGTTCTGGCAACAAAACTTCTTTTTTTCTTTTTACGTTATTTTTTTATCTTTTCAGTATTTCCGTAACTGCTGATGTTTTCTGATGGCATATAGGCATTACCTAGATGCAGTGTCAGTGCAAGGGAAATCAAGCAAGGACTATCAACACACCCTGTTTCCCCACACACGGGCTTTGTAGCTGCCAAACTACAAAGAGCTGCAACCCAGCCACTGACATGAGGCAAATGAGAAAGCACAACATGCTGATGCACTCAGAAAAAGTTACAGACAGAAATGTGTCGACAAAACATAAGCAGAAATATCAACTATAAATCTCAAACTATACTCAGACGCTGTGACTTTTTGATTATTCTTAACAGGCTGGGTTACTTCAAATTTGTGGGATGTTTTACTTGAAAAATTTTCCTTCTGAGTCAAGCCACTCAAATGATGGTCCTGCTTTTTGCTGCAAGGCAAGTGGGACATTACAAATTAACTGGGGATTTGCACAGAACCTACTGATGACTCTGTCATGATTTCTAAAGAGCTCTGACACGAGTGCCCGGCTGGCAAAGACAGAGCGTGCTTTGCCACTGGAGTGGGCACCTGGGGCTGTCCCAGGCACTTGCATCCATCGTACTCCCAGATAAAGTTTACTGCACTCTGGCTGCATGGAGATGCAGTCACCTACCTGCTAGCTGGACACAGTCACAAGCACTAACATTACCAGCAAAGTGGACTTTTGGGCAAAGGACTGTGGACAAGACTTCCCAAACCACTTTATTTTGTCTTACTTCTGTGTTGTTAGATAAATAACCAGAGCTTGCAGGAGCTTTGCAAGTAATGGCACTCAAATACTGACAGAAGCATTGAGAACAGAGGGCAGTAACAGTCTTCACTGCTTTGGATTTTATGCTTTGGGATTTAAATAAATGCAGAAAAAATAAATAAAAGATTAAGTGTACTTAATCTAGTGCCCTAAACAAAACCCTCTTCCCATCCCAAAGTGTACTGTAAAACATGGCCTATTTGTGTTGGACAAGTGAGCCAAGTAAGGCAATTCTTTTCTGTCTCTAAAGAAATAAACATTCTAAATGAAGCCATAATGAGTTTTCGGCATCAGCTGGTTTCTAACTTTGGTAATGAACTGACATTTGAGGATACAAATATAAACGAGCTATTTTACTCATGCTCTCCCTTTCATCATGTTCTTCAGTTAATCCTTTGAGTATTCAAAGTGAGGCTCACACAGTGCATGCATTCCTTCTAGAGGACCTTGAACAGCAAAGAGGAATTTTAAGGAAATGGGTTGTGGAAAAATTCAGTGTAGAAAATGATCTGTGGCTTTTATTTTCATTTACTGGGGTAAGGTAATTTAATTATAATGAAATTACATCTGGAGGGAGATAAAGCAGAAAAGTGAATTAGCCTTTTGTTTAACTATTTGCATCCCACTTGTGGCCAAAAAAAAAAAAGTTTCCAAGCCATGGAGGGAACTAAATGAGACCAGGGTTGGTAGATCCAGTGTCTGTCCTGTGTGTGTCTGAACTTCTGCTATCTCAAGAGAGGAAACACACAAAGGTCAGTGCAGGTATCAGACACCAGGGGACCCTGTTTTCTGGGTATTGAAAAATGCCAGTTTCCTCCTGCAAAGCTGTCCTTTTGTTTTGTCCCTGGCAGTTAAAGAGTATTAGACAAAATGCACAGCACATGGGGCAGAGGAGAGCGTAGCACCCTGCTAGCTGTGCAGAGTGTACTGAATTTCAGCTCCTCAGGGTTAAATAAAGCCCTTTGAACCCTCTTTATTCCAGTGCCCTGAGTAAAACCACGGTTAAACACAGGCATTGGGGAAGCTGAGTGAGAAAGTAACACAGGACCTGTGTGGTGTCACGCTGAGGGAAGGCCCTCTCAATAAGGTGGCATTATGCAGAGTAGAATGGTTCTAGCCCTGTGTAAAACGCGTATTTCTTTGCCAACAAGGACCGAACATCTCCGAGCCCCCGGGCCCGGGGAAAGCCCAGCGCCCTCAGAAGGAGCCGCCGCGCAGGCCGCGCCGCGCCGCGGGGGCTGCTGGGAGTTGTAGTCCCGCAGGCCCGGCCCGGCGCGCCCTCCCCTCACGGCGCGGCGGGGCGGCTCTGGGGGCTGCTGGGAGTTGTAGTCCCGCAGGCCCGGCCCGGGCGCGCCCTCCCCTCCCCTCACGGCGCGGCGGGGCGGCTCTGGGCGCTGCCGCTGCCGCCGCGCCTGAACCGCGGCTGTTTGCTCCTCCTCTGGGGCTTCAGGGAGACATTTCGGGGCTGGCCACTGGTGATTTGAGACATCCCAAGGGTCTTTTCCATAGCTCCTGGCAGCTCCTATCTACCCAAAAAGAGGAAAAATCCCTGTTTCTGGTCCAGTTGCACCTTATCAGCACTTAACTCTCAGAAAACTGTCTTTCCTCTCTTAAGGGCTTTTCCACCCCTATCCATAGTATTTTTAGTTTGCTTGAATGGAATTTTGCCACTTACGTTTCTCCACAGTATCAACAGCCTAATACCTGTTATCCTGCTGTCCCTCCTCTACTTCAGCACTCCACAGAGGAATGAGAGATAGTTTCCAGCCCATGGGGTCCTGCAATGAAACACCTCTCTTCAGTTCCTGTCTTGGCCAGGAAGGTCCTCCAAAAACCATGCTGTGTCTTCTTCACAGTTCCCTTGTGACCTGCCAGGGTGTTCTGCATGGCTGGGTATTATGAAATTGCTCTGAAGTTCTGATAAAGCCTAGACAAAAGCCTAAAGATCGCAGTGGTGTTAAGCAAGTGAGGAGGGAAGGGAGGCAGAAAATCCATGGCCAGAATGTAGCAGAGCACCTTGGTACAGCCTGGCATTAATTTTCAAGGCAGTTTTGGTACCATGTGTGTTAAACACCAAATCACAGCACAGCAGCCAGTGGCCTGAATTTACCTTCCATACAGTTCCCTGGGTTCTCTCCTACAAGGTAAAGAACAGGTTGGTAGATGTGCACAACCTTTTGTGAAAGCTCTGGCTGCCAGGCTGAGGGGAGCAGCACTGCACAGACTCACTGACCAGGCAGGAGGGCAAACATCTGGCTTTTGTTCTGGTGGGGAGGGCCTGAAACATTTGCTTTAGTATCCTGAGGTACTTTTGATACAATATGCATTACCTGACCTTTTTCTCATAATCATATGAATCTCCAGTAAGATGACTAGAGTAGCACCCTCTTCATACCAGCAGCTGACTACAATGCAAGGCCAGTGATACCTCCGTGCTTTTGCTTCCTCTTTTTTCCAAGACTGAATTGCTTAAATAAATCTTCCTGTACCTGAATTATATCCACTTCACTGAGAATTTCCTGCCCTACTTATTTTTTTGTGCAACTCCTTATTGTGCTAGTTGCTCATATTTAATAAACCTTCTATCTAGACTTAAACCTTTGTTATTTTAAAGCTTATACTTCATATTAAAAAATCACTGTATAAAACACAGCTCATTGTCCCCATATTAGCAGTAATATCTGCCACTTGCCCAGCTTGTAATAATGTAGCAAGAAGCTTATAAAAAGTATTCCTATGAAATACTAACACTGTTAAAAGGAATACAGCCTGATAAAAACATTTTATATAAACATGGCTCAGACATCTCAGTGAAATGGCTACTACCTCTCTGGGAAACCTAAAATGTAGCACTTGGTTGTAGGAAGTGGGGCAAATGAAGAGGCACAACATGGTGATGCACTCAGAAAAACAGCTACAGACAGAAATGTGTCAACAAAACACAAGCAGAAATCTCAACTATACTTCAAAGTGTATATAGAAAAATTAGTGCTAGGTTTTTTTTCCCACTTTGCTGGGAAGCTCTTCTCCTGGGAGCGAAGAACCTCAGAAATATCCAGATGTTTAAGATTTGTAAAGGGACCATGTCTCAGTAAATACTGGCATCTTCTCTCCATGTTGTTATTTTGGTGTAACTGCCACAAGTGATGCCAGGCATGGAAGACCAGAGTCTGGCATTTCATTCTTCACTCAGCCTTGGAGGATGCTGCTCCTCAGCTCTTTGAAAGTACCCCAGATGCAGGGAAGGGCATTTTCTGCAGCTCTCACTTACTGGTTCTGTTGGGGGGACTTACAGGTGCTCTTTCTGCTCTGAGGCGCTGAACTGTGAGCAGAGCAGAAGAAATGACATCCCTGTGATTTGTGCATCGATTTGCAAGCTCAGAGCATGCACACATTGCTTTGGTAGGACAGTGGTTGCCCAAATAGACAACAAGAAAGGAAGTGCTTTTACAGGGGGGCAAATGCTCCAGTCACACATTGGATCAACCTGTTTTCCCCTCTACTCTCTCCTTTGATATAAACCAAACCCAGGTACTTCTGAGCATGAGCAGACATGACATTCAACAGTTGTGCATTAAGATTATAACAGTTAAACTGATAATTAAAAAACTTACTCAGCTCTTAAATTGGTTGATGAGACTCTGATCACGGGCGCTCTCAAGAGCACATTTGTTGTAACTTGTTCTCCAACTGCTCTGGTGATCACATAATTCAGAAAAATATGAATAGTTGTTATTTTGCCTGTAAACTTAATTAGTAGAGCTATATCTAAATTTGATTACCATCCAACTCAAAATTTAATATCCACTCTACTATAAATACTATTTACTTAACAAATCAGCATAGGAACACTTTTCAATTTTTATTGGTGACCATCTTTGGTTAAAAACAGTGTATTTCTGAACTTTCAATTGCACATAAAATAGAAGTGTGATTGTGGGCTATTAGTACAGACACTCCCCTCTGGTTCTAACTTCAAATGAAAATAGGAACTACCAATGAGGGATTTTTAGTGAATTTTTTATATAGTCCATGCAATAATACAGATTATGAAAAAATGCTTTCATTCAAATTATGGTCAAAACCTCCTTTTTTGCTCATGATGATATTAAAACCACTAAAAAATATTGCAACTATTAACTCAAAAAGGATTTAAAGGCAAAATCTACTAATACACAAAGAATAAAAACTCATGGTTGGTATTGCATGTATTATTCCCTGACATATTATGTGACTGGTACGATCTAAATTTTTCATTACCTACTGCTCTTAAATATTTTCCAAGTTTCCTGTTCTTACTCTGCTCTGCAGCTGACATTTCTTACACAGAATTCCACACCACGTAAATGTGACATCTACTGGAAAATAAATGTAACTAGAGCAGCTGGTTATGGAAAGCTCCTGAAGATGCAATCATAGAATACTTTGAGTTGGAAGGGACCTTAAAGATCATCTACTTTCATGATTTTAGTTGACAGGATTTTGCAGTAACCTCAAATATAAAAAAAAACTTCAAGAAAAGTTAGTGTTGAGTTCTGTTAGTCAATATATAGTAGCAGAATTAAGAGGAGTTTAATAACTTCAGACATAATACTAGGTATGCCCTAAAGCAGAAGTTTGTGTTGTACAAATCCAAAGTGAAAAAGCATTTGTCCTGATATTTCAAGTTCCCTTGAGTGGCTTTAAAAAAGACTAAAAAAGTTTATGAGACTTTGGGGAGTTATTTTCCTCCCAGCATTCCCTGCAATACTTCTCTTGGCAGCAAACATCCCTAGCAGCAAACTCAGTCCTGCTCTGAAATTCCTTTCCAGAATCCATGAGCTGTGGCTGCTGTGGCCTTGGGAGGTGGCTCTCTGGAGTGGATGTCCTCCTGCAGCCAAGGCCCTGTTTATGTCCTAAACACAGAGCAGACACTTCTGTGGAAGCAGAACCACTGTGGAGATGAATTCATGTGCTTGCACTCTGCATCACCACGTGCACGGTACATCACATGTTCCACCACTGTGATCCTCCTTCTGCTACAATAGGATGTTTTTACTAAGGCTGCTTGCTCAGTCCCTCTCTTAGTTTTTCCCACTGGTAAGCAAGCCTGCCAGATGCACACTTCCCAGTGCATATGGCCAGAGAAAAAGGGAAATAAAGAATGTATTAATTGAGGACACACAGTGCCTTTTTTTAGACGGGCAGTTGAAAACAGATACTTTATAAACACTGGGCATTTATAAAATGATTACATATTGGTTGCTTAACCTTAATTAACATGCCTGTGAGATAGGTAAATCATGTTTTACTTATCCAAGGTACTACCTATCATTAACAGAGTCCTGACACTCAGATCCCCAGTTCATGCAAACACCAAGTAGAAGGATGGCAAGGACAGGAGAAAGTGAAAGGACATCCCAATCAAGCATTCATTTTGTTGAACTGTTATTTAGGTAACTACATACACATTCAAAGTAGCAATGTAGATACAAAGTAAAGAACAATATTCTGGTATTCCTGTGATATTGCTGTGTAGACCAAAGCATTAATACACCACTAAATCAAAGTGAGGTCTTGGATGTTTTTGGTTTTTTTTTTTCCTTCAACTGAATCAAATTACCTTGGTGGGGGAAGAATTTCAGTTAACCAAGCCTTTCCAGCATTCCAATTTTCTCTTTGTTGCCCTAGTCAGCAGGAATTTCTCCTGGAACTTACTGAACACACTCAGAACGTACCACACTGCTTGCCAGGCTGAGACCTTGCTCCATTTGTGTCAACATAGCTACAGCTGTGTCTCTAATCTTCCACAGCACCTTGGAAGCAAAGGCAAAGGAAGAAGTCTCTGATAACAACCTCCCAGCAAAGGAAAACACCTGTTACTGTGGGTGCATACAGATGGAACAGATCACTGATCCCTCCCCTCAAACTCCAACAACCTTTCGTCCTGAAGAGTTTTTGTGCTGCAGCCTTGCCATCAGACATTAGATTGCCACTTTGTTCCATCACAATCTAGACCTGTAAGCTTAGCAGCAGTAAGAAATGTGCAAGTTTGTCACTGGCTCTTCCATTCGTGCTTCAGTGACAGCAGCTCATGTCAATGAACGCCACAACTATGTTTCTTTAAAGCTTCAAAGCAAAGAGCCATACATACAGAATTCTTAGGAATGTGTTTTTGCAAAGACATTGCTACTTGACCCTCCAAGGGAGGGAACAGCACAATGAAGCTGTGAGGATTCTAAAGGAATTTTTACTGGCTTTGAAACACTGTTGGGAACTGATCCTAATGATGTTATAGAAACCTCAAACTGTTTTTATCCCTCTGAGGGACTACACTTTTTGTACTAGTCAATTATAAAAATAAAATATATTTTCCGTATATGCAAATTTCCTTCAGGCATCCCTTTTTATCATACGATACCCTTCCCCAAATCCAAACAATAAAAAAGAGGTAAAAATGTGACTAGATCTCAGATTTAATTCATACTTTTATTCACCATCAAATTCAGAAGTTAGAAAGGGAAGATATCTTTGAGATCCTGTCTTGTCTCTAGGTACCCATCTTACACTTCTGAAAAAATCCAACACTTCACATAATCCCTATGTAAGATGTTAAACATTTACTATCTATAAGGCATTTAATCATCCTTGTGGAGTTCTAACCCTTTTACTGCCCAGCTTGAAGTTAGGTGCTCATATTTTACCTTTTTGTTAAAGAAGTTAAATCAGTCAATACCTCATGAAAATACCTTTCAATGAAAAACATTTTTAAAATGTATGCAAGACCCACACTTGTAAAACTGTGGTGGTCAAACTCTCTCTCTTTTGTTTTTTAAATATCATTGAACAGATCCAGATCAGCTATATGCACCTCAGCTAGAGAATGGAATTGTTTTTTTACCAGTTTCTTATGGAATGGCTCTTCAATTCTGATCTGGGATAAGTCTTCCTTATGCAGCAAATCAGAACAGATTTGAATGACACCTTCAAATCTGTGGCTCAGCATGCTGTGCTTGTTTAGGAGCTGTAGTAAAAGCAGAAGACAGTATTTTTGCAGGTTTTTAACTCAGCTTTAGAAAAAGTACAAAGGTCTTTAAAATGTAATGTAGCAGTAGTACCAGGAAACCAAGAACACAAGACCGCAGTCGCAAGCGCAAGCAGCAGAAGCACAGAGGCCACAGCTCGGCTCAGACAGTGGGAAGAGGAGGAGCTGCATTACAGAGCAGGCACCAGAGCCTCTCCAAACACCACTTGCAGAAAAAGCCTCAAGACAGACAATGCCAAGACCATGAACAGTCTTTACTTCTATCAGTTGTTTCACAGCACAATGAGACACAGCACAAAGTTTGTACAGCGGGATCTGCAGACAGTCTAAAAACAGGCAATTATCTTTAATAAAAAGCATCGAGTCTGAATGAAAATAAAATGAAGACAAACAATACTGAAGCTGATGATCACCTTGCTTGCTTTTGATTGTCTAAGAAGTCCAAGACTTCTCATAGTGCCTTTAATGTTCTCCACACCACCTTCTCCAGACACCCTAGTTAGTGTAAAGCTTACTGTGCCCCAACTCATATGTGTAGTAGGTTTCACAACCTTTTCCTCTTTCTCTCAAACCCTGCTCACATGTGGGGAGGTGCAACAACTGTCATCATACAACATTCTGATTCACAAAGAAGCAGCACAAGTGTTGTACATAATTTAATTTGCACTTCTGTATATAAATGTTTACTATTGCACACTATTGCAGCACTTAAAAACATCTAATTATTTGCAAAAATTAGTAAAATACTTTAAAGGATTTAAAAATAAGGGTTTTAATGCAACTGACAATATAATAAAAAAAGCAATTTACTTAATGAGATACAATCCTTTATGTTGGAAATGAAAGTTACATACAACTAGAGTACAATTAAAATATACCATATAGTTCAACACTTAATTCCTCAAATGTGTAAAATTAACAAGCTTCTACTGTCATAGATATACAATTTTTCCATATTGTGAAAAGGATTTTTCAAATTAAATACAGGTAACATAATATTCTGTAGTTATATTTCATGACTGTGTTTAAATGAGAGGGTTGTATAATACTCACATTGTCAAATGTACTCACTAATGCCTTGGAAATTGCACACTTCCCCTCCTTTTCCAAAATAGAATCTCATTTCCATACTGAAGTCTATTATGCCATATTGGAAAAGTGTTTTACTTTCTAACAGGATTTTCATAAAATTAAAAAATAGCATAATATCATGGCATGATGATGACTTATGCCCGTGTAGAATTTAATCTGGGTATCAGACAGACATGTCAGAACCAATTTCCTAGACTTTTATCTTATTGTACACGCAAGATGAATGATTACAGTATTTTACAGAACAGAAAAATCTTGGAACCTTTCTAGAACTATAAATGTAATGATTAAAAATTAAAATCATAACAGAATCAAATTGTGATCTTCAACATTTATTAAAATCTTTTAAAGTTCATAAACGACAACAAAGTTACTGTAGAATTTATCGCATACAGCTAGCATACAGCAGCATGTCCTTGGTCTAAATGAAATACAAAAGATTTTAACATTTTCATACAAAGGATTTCTTTAAATTTATTAATGTGACGATATATCTTTGTTACATAAAATTTGCTACAGCAAAGTATCTTATACTTTTCTTGCATGTATGTAAATATGGGTGGACAAAGACTGCATTCGGTGTCAGCCTCCTAATGACGTTGTGCAAAAATGCTCAACAACCTAAACAGACAGAACATTGGGTGGTATGCTTCATACTCTTTTGTAAAATGTCTACAAAGGCCTTTCTTTTAGGAGCGTCGTACAGATTAAAAGGAAGGAACGCCAGCTGTTTATTTGCACTGGCATTCAAACAAATCCAATGGCTATGTATCAATATAGCTCATTTTTTAAAAAAACAAATCATCCTTGTATGCATGTAAATTTATCATAAAACATGAGTCTAGTTTAAACTTTTAGATGTGCTGTTTTAAGACAGGTCACTGAGACAGCCAGAACCAAGTGTTCAAATAAAACTACTATGAATAAGTTTAAAAGCAACCCCGAAAAAAGTGCTGAGCCGCTGATTATTAACATTGAAATAAATGTGTAAAAGTGCCCAAAGCTAGCACATGGTAGCAATACCTTTTAAGTCAGTTGGTGAGAGTATACAAAACATAATTAAACCCAAATACTTGTATCTGTGTGACCATACATTCTGATTGATTGAAAGAAAGTAGGTTAGAAATGAAGACACAACGCAACTAAAATAAACTCAGCTGTTGCAGTTTTTAAACTTTATCTTTTTTCTTCATGAATGAAGTGCTGTAATTAAAAAGAAAATGATTGTAGCAGTACTCCATCCTCAGTTTACTAATATAGTATACCAGAATAAAAACTTGGCAATAACCTCTTATTCTTAACAGCTAACGAAAAATAACCGTGTTCATCCAGCGATGCATCTAGAACATTATTTTGCAGTTGCTAAACCATTTGTTTTTCATAGCTAATGGCAGAGCGCATTTTGCTTTCTGTGGCATGATGGTTTTTACTCTAATGGATGCCTTTTTTAAACAAAAAAGGCTTGAAGCAAGGAATACTTTGGGAGCCAAAACATTGGCTACTTTAAAAAAAAAAAGAAAAAAATGAAGAAGAAAAAGTGAATCAAAATGAATTCTCTACAGTACTGACCAAAACTTCCTTTAAGAGTTTAGGGTTCTTGATCTTAAACAAGCAATTTCACACCTGCCAACTGAAATGCTGGTACGTTGACTTGGTTTAATATGGTCCAAAGTCCAGACCAGATGGAATTACTCCCTCTCGTGAGACTGTAAGCTCTCCATGGTACAGTCTGGTTATGGCAACTTGCCTACTGCCTAGGTGGGAAATACAAAGGAAGGAGGCAGTGAGGAAAACTGCAGGGATGTAGAAAACCAAGGCACGGGGTCTAGCTACTGTCCCCTACTTAAGCCATCCAATTGATTCTACTGAATTTTGGTCAGCCTCCAGGAAGAAATGTTTTTAAGTTAATTTAGCAGACATTTATATGGCGATAAATACTACCTTCAAAAATGCTAAAAATGTTGGCTAGGTTTAGTCTGAGCTACTAAAAAATTATTATAAATTGTAGCATCAGACACAAGACAGACAAGAATTATTGGCTGGCACAGACTAGAAGCAACATTTATCTTTCACTTCAGTCTAAATCACACTAGCCGCAACACCTTCCATTTCACTCACACAAATAATACATTATTCAAAATAAAATGGAGCATTCTTGGGTAAAAAACTACTTCATTTCAAAGGGGGAAAATGAACAATACACAGAAACAAAGAACGACAGAAACCAAAGTTAAGTAGGAAAGTGGTCTATTATTCTGTGTTACTGCACAAACAGTGCTTGCTTAATTGTGCCTAGTTAGAAGGGTTGGTGCAAACTGCACACATGGAAGATGGCAATAAAGACCTCAGTCAGCTTTGTGGAATGAAGTAACTAGGTAACTGTTTTGACATATGATGGTCTCAGCTCCACCTCATCTGTTAACAGAGTGCAAAGATCCCAATGTGAGCCCTGATGTCATCTTGTCCTCTTACTCCTACTAAAAATCAGCAAATTCTTTTGCACATTTTTCTGTTAGAGAAGCACGAATATCTTCTTCTTCATAGTCATCAAAGTTGCTGGTATCTCCAGGACCTCTGCACTTTGGTATGAATGGAGCTTCTACCTGTATTGGTAGGAAACACAAAAAGGCACATGAAATGTTACTGGCCAAATACCAATAGATTTAACATTGTAATAAAGAGCACAGCAACACTCATTACTTCTCAGATCCTGCCAAGAGATCAGGTATTACAGATTTAAATTGTGGCACATAAAACCAATCTAAGAAGGTACAGGCCTAGATGTGTGAATCTAAATTGAAAAAGACTAATCTCTTGCTGACAGACTTCATTAAAAAAATTACTTCCTCTTCAAAACAAGGATTAGTCCTCTCCTTGCAGAGGCGATCCTGCTCCTTCCAGCTCATTAGCACAGGACATGGAGTACACTGATTGCCACCACCACTACACAGAAATCTTTGGCAAGTTTTGAATGCCACTCCCTCCTACTTAATAACAATCATCTATTTCCAAATAAAAACTAACCTAATACAAGTGGAAAAGAATTTGTTCTGCATCTTTTACGAAGTTCCTCCTAGGACCTAAGTGCGAAGTGAAAGCCTTCTAAAAACTAGGCCACAATCAGACACAAGCAATGACTTGAAGGAGTCACTCAAAGACTGTACTGTAAGGTAAGCAAAATTACAACAAAATTATGCAGGTGGTGCAAATTCAAACCTGGAAGCACAAAGTAATCAGACAAGTATCTGTCTCCCAAACATCTTAAGGAGTAGGCAGAATGGTGGGGAGACAACAAAATGGGGCAGGCACAGCTCCAGCTGAGGCAGAGGATCACACCACACTGTGCCCCCAGGTAGACTGCAGATAGTCGGGGTGTGTTGCATGTGTAGGTCAGTAAATTAAACAGGTACAGTACAGAGTAACAAAATTAAACTCCAAACTGTGGGCAATACCATTATACAATGCCAAGAATAATAGTAACTTGTGCATTTGTTCGTGCAATTGTCACATGTATACCCTCTTATTCTTAAAATAAGATTCATATTTCAGCGATTTAGCCTGAGTGAACACAGTCTGTGTATATACCTAGCCTACAAAGATACACATTATCAGTATCTGAATTCTGTCTCTGTGTCTTCTTAAATTGATTTTCAGTTACTTTCTTACAAGAAAACTCAGAGCACAGAAAATACCTCATTTACTGCTTGAACTTTAGAACACTTTCAAATGAGATGCGGCTGACCTTTTCCTATTATCTTCCTGATGGAAATTGCTAAAAAGAGATTGCAGGAGAGAACACTGGTTTTTAGTGGAAATACCTGTTTGGACCTAAGCACAATCATCTTATCAGGCAGTGTATTATTACATATGAAAACATATAAAGAAAGGAAGACTTGATGGTATATCCTGCAATGGATGAGCAACTGGCTCACAGGTGGGGCACAGAAGGTTACAGTGAATGGGATGACATAAGACTGGTGAGTTGTCACTAGCTGGGCTCTGTAGGGCTCAATTCTTGGCCCTGTGCTCTTGAACATCTTCATAAATGATTTGGATGCAGAAGTGGAAGGGATACTAAGTAAGTTCATAGACCATAGAAAACTGGGAGGAGCTGTTGACTCTGTGGAGGGCAGGGAGGCTCTGCAGAGAGACTGACAAATTAGAAGACTGGACAATCAGCAAGCGTATGAAGTTCAACATTGGGAAGTGCCAGATTCTGCAACTGGGATGAGGCTACCCTGGATGTATAGACAGACTGGGACACAAGAGGCTGGAGAGCAGCTGTGGAAAGGAACCTGGGGGTCCTGGTTGATGGCAAGTTGAGCCAGCAGTGCCCTGTCAGCAAGCAGGGGCAGCCATGTCCTGGGGACATCAGGCCTAGCATGGCCAGCCGGGCAAGGGAGGGGATTGTCCTGCTCTGATCTGCACTGGAGCAGCCTCACCTCGAGTGCTGGGGGCAGTTTTGGGTGCCACAGTGTAAGAAAGACATTAAACTATTAGAGAGTGTCCAGGAGGACAACAAAGATGGTGAAGGGCCTTGAGGGGAAGCTGTGAGGGCAGCTGAGGGCACCGGGTCTGTTCAGGCTGGAGGAGACTGAGGGCAGAGCTCACTGCAGTCACAACTTCCTCGAGAGGGGAGGAGGAGCAGCAGGCACTGATCTCTGCTCAGTGACAGTGACAGGAGCCAGGGCATGGCCTGAAGCTCAGTCAGGGCAGGTTTAGGTTGGGTATCAGGAGAAGTCTTCAGCCAGAGGGTGTTTGGGCACTGGAACTGCTCCCCAGGGCAGTGGTTACAGCATCAGCCTGAGAGGTTCAAGAAGCATTTGGACAATGCTGTCTGGCACATGGAGTGACTCCTGGGGTCCCGTGCAGGGCCAGGAGTTAGACAGGATGATCCTTGTGGGTCCCTTCCAAATCAGCATATTTTGTTACTCTGTATCCAAAATATTAAGTAATTGACTGATTTACTTATGACTGTAGCCATTAGGAAAAAAAACCACCAAAAAACCAAAAAACCAACCAACCAAACCAACCCACCCCTGCAAAAAAAAAAAAAACAACCCCAAAAAAAACCAACCAAACAAAACAAACAAACAAAGTCAAAACAAAAACAAAACAAAAAACCAAAACAAAAAAAAAAACCCAACCCATTCACATGACATTTGCTGCCAAGG